GGGAGGGTGGGAGGGAGGGAGACATAAGAGGGAAGAGATATGGGAACATATGTATATGTATAACTGATTCACTTTGTTATAAAGCAGAAACTAACACACCATTGTAAAGCAATTATACTTCAATAAAGATGTAAAAAATAAAAGTCAAAATACAAGAGTTCAAAAAGGCAAAAAAAAAAAAAACATGGAATATTTCTACCTCTGCTGAGTGCTATATTAGCTAAGGAGCTTGGAATTTATCCTATTAGCAATAAGCACTCAATTGAAAGGTTTTCAGCAAAAGAGTGACAAGGTCAGAATCATGTTTGATAAAGAGCTTTCTAGCAATGGTAAGTAGAAACTATTGGATGGAAGTCAGCAAGAAAACTATTGAAAAACATGGATTAAAAAGAAATTGAATGTCTTGACCTCATTACTGGGAAAATGAATGAAGAACAATGGACAGGGCTGAGAGACAAGAAGTAGAATAGCCAGTGTTTGTTACCAGTGCTGGTTGGTGCTGGTCAGAAGTAGAAAAGAAGGAGTTCAGATTGATTCAGTTCCTGGCCTGAATGACTGAGTAGTCAGGGAACCATTCCCCTGGGATTGTGGGAGGGGAATAGTCACCTTGGATCCATTGTGGGTAACAGGATGAGTTTAGTTTGAGATTTGTTGGGTTTGGGGTCCCTGGAGAACATCCAAAAAAGAAACATTAGAAAGCAAGAAGGCATATTATCATTGTGTTACATCTCTATCTTCCCACTGGAATCACTTTCTCCTGAAAGAGAAAGCATTGGTGTCTGAAGCAGTGTGTCCAATAGGATGAAATGATAAGGATGTTCTCTATCATCATGTATCTTACAAGTAGCCACTAGTCACACGTGGTCATTGAACACTGTGGCTGGTAAGATTAAGGAACTAAATTTTTAATTTCGCCTAACTTAAAATAATTTAAGTTTAAATAGCTCTACGTGTGTAGTAGCTCCTCCCATATTAGATTCTGTAGTTATTTTCATTTTACTCTCTTTGCTAAGGGAGAAAAATAGGTCAATTCATTTTACAAACATGTCACCAAGTTCAAAATAAAAAGTGATGGATTAATCAGTGAGCTCAACTAAGGCACCTCGTATGTCCCTCAAGAAGTGAAAGGCCCCTTGTGGTGTAAGTGACACTGACTTGTTTGTCCAGTCTTACCCACTCATACACTTTGAATATATGGATAGTTTTGTCGTTACTGAGAAAAATGATAATGAGGTAACTCATCTGTTTTTGTTACAGCCAATTCTTGTGAGTATGAAGATCTCCTTAGTAACTGTGATTCCTTGAAGAAAACAGCTGGCTGTGAACATGAATTGCTCAAGGAAAAGTGCAAGACTACTTGCCTATGTGAAGGCAAAATTTACTGAAATGCCCAATTTGCACTGTGCAGGACTAAGTGGAGAAAATCTGCATCATTTAGTTGACACATACTAAGAGGGAAATTGTAGGCATGTTAGTTACAAATTTGATTCCAAACAGTAAGGAACCTTTTTCTCCAGGATATTTACAGAGATCTCTTTCATACAACGATTTACAAAAGTAAGCTAGTCTATGACAACAACTTTGGACTGATACAAATTTGTCACCTTACATTTAATTAACTGAATCAAGTTGAGAATTTTGAAAGTAGTACAACCACAGGACTTAGTCACTAGAACTTTGGATTAAAATAAAGAATTACATGTTTCCTGAAACAACATGCCAAAAGAAAAAAAAAAAGACTGTAACATTGTCATTCCTATTCCAAGATTTTTTACATGTTTAAAGAATGAATTCAAAGATTGACATCTACCTTTGTCTTATGACATCCTCTTTAAATAAAAGCAAACAGCTTTTAAAATAAAGAATTTAAGCAAACACATGTATGTGATTCTTGAGTCATATTTTATAACATTAATATATAACCCCAGCTAGACTAGCCCAGGTATATGATTAGACAGAGCAAAATTTCTGAAAACATTTGCCTATAAAATTAAATTTTGGGAGTTCCCTGGCAATCCATTGGTTAGGACCCTGCATTGACACTGCAGGGGGTCAGGGTCGATCCCTGGTCAGGGAACTAAGATCCCACAAGCTGTGTGGCACAGCCAAAAAATAAAAAATTTAAAAATTAAATTTTAACAATAACAAAAAGGAATCAGTTGTATTCTCATTTTGCTTTTTGCTTTTTGACATTTTGCTCTCTTCTGCACTGGTTTGATATCCTACCTTTTGTGTAAAAAGAATAGTAAATACAAAAATACACATGTAATTTCACATTTATGCAAAATGTACATGAAACATGGGAAAAGTATACCAGAAACTAATGAGATTGGTTATATAGAGTGGGTGGGTGAGAATGGGTTGGGCAGGATGGAGGGTGTCAAAAGGCTAGGAGAAAATGGGTGGGGTGTGACACTTCTCTATTTCTTTTTATATAGTTTTAGCTTGTGAATTTTGTTTCACATACTCTTCAAAATAAAATATAATCAACAAGGGTGGGCAGAAAACTCCAAAATGAAATGGAAACAAGAATAAAATAAACTGTATTGCACATAGATCAAATAATCACCATAAAGGGTGGGAAAAAAGAATCCAACTAATGTTTGAATGTCATATTTGAACTGTATGTCATCTATATTTATATAAACAAATGGTCAACTCTAGTGAATAAGATTTTGTTTTGTTTGTTTTTAAAATAGACACATGGGTTAGTAATTCTGAAACTACTATGTATCCTACGAACACACAAATAAATAATTATAAATAATGGAAACCAGGTTTCTCACTGTTGGAGAAAGGCTTTACACACATGGAAAGAAGGAATACAGGATTCAACCCAGTGTTGTTGCATTGGAATTGGAGGTATTAGTGTGAATTTGTAGTTTTTCACATATACATAGAGGTGTTAGAGAAATAGTGAACAGAACAGAAGGAATTCCTGCCCTCATGCATGGATAATTTTTGAAACTGGAGGATAAGAACATAAGGGTTCCCAGAGCCACTAGGGACACAAACCATTCTTTGGGATGATAAAAATTGTTCGTAAAATGTAACAACAAAATGTAGTGTTAACCACTTTTAAATGAAACACATAGTGGCTTTGAGTTAAAGAAAGTTCCAGGGACTTCCCTGGTGGTGCAGTGGTTAAGAATCCGCCTGCCTATGCAGGGGACATGGGTAAGCCCGGGCGCTACAACTACCGAGCCTGCGCTCTACAGCCTACGAACCAGAACTACTGAGCCCACGTGCCACAACTACTGAAGCCCGTGCACCTAGGGCCCGTGCTCCGCAACAAGAGAAGCCACCGCAATGAGAAGCCCACGCACTGCACTGAAGAGCAGCCCCCGCTCGCCGCAACTAGAGAAAGCCCGTGTGCAGCAATGGAGACCCAATGCAGCCAAAATATAAAATACATAAATAAATAAATTTAAATCGATGTGATGCTAATTAGAAATTTTAAAAAGTTCCAGGAAAAAACGATTTCACGTTGGCCACATGAAGTATTAATTCTTATCCCGGCAACGTTGGCAGCCAGCAACAAAGACGGTAGTAGCTGATAAGCGGTCACTTCAGTGGTGTCCAGAAGACAACCTCATCTTTGAGATCTGGAGCTATTGGAAACATGTTCACTGAGAGTCCCCAAGCATCAGAATCCTTAGAGTCCCAGATCTGTGAAAGAAGGTGGGGTAGAAGAGTAGAAAAAGAGCAGATGCTATGGGGGAGGTAACAGGATCTGTTAGCACACATGAGAAAATCCCTGGGGACACCCAGTAGCAGTTGGGTGAAAAGTGTAGGGTTTATGGCTCTTTCAATAGCAGGCAGAAGGGAACACCCTCTTCCCTGTCACATACATGCACACACATACATGAAAACAATTGATGGAAACTGTCTTAAAACCAAACCCCCTAGTACTGGGAAATACGATTATAAAATGTACTCTGGATCTATATATAGAATATTTAAATGTCATCAGGTACTGATTTCGCTATTTCAAATTGAGATAATGTTTCTCTTTTGTAAGTGAAATAACGCATGTAAGATATTTAGGAGTAAGAGAGACTAATGGTGCTCAGTAAATTCTAATTTACTTCTCTGTTTCACCTTAGTGCTACCAAAGTTAATTAGAAAACATTCTACATTCCAGGTGATATGCTGATTTTTTTACATTCATTTTTTGCACTTTATCCTGACAATAGTCTTTTGTCTGCATTTTGCAGGTGAGTGAACAGGGACAGGAGGATTAAGTATTTTGTCCTGATATGGACTGCTACCCAACATCAGAGCACAGACTCAACCCTCACGGTTTTAGGGAATACACAATGCTGTTTCCTGATCTAGACTGAAATTAATTGACAGTTTGGATTAAAAATGCATTCAGACAGAGGATTTAATGGGAAATGAAATAAAGTTTTATACAAAGTTCTTAGGTTCTTTGTTCTATATTTATGGAGATGTGTTTATTTTTGACAATGTGACATTTAAGACTTGTATTAACAGTTCAATGGTAGTCAGGCATGGAATACCTCCTTAGAATTTTATAAAATTACATCATGACTCAAGCCTATTGACTTCCATTTCTATTATCTTAAAAACCTGTTCTATAGTTATAAAAAAGGTGACAGGAAATAAATTAAAACTTGAAGAGAACTAATTAGGCTGGGTGAGGGCATGAAGGAGACTTCTGGCATTAGTATAGCTGGTTTCATAACTATACACCTATGTAAAAATTAAATTGGCTATATACCCTTAAGATTTTGTGCATTTATTGTATATTAGTTATGCTTCAACTTTTAGAAAAACGATGCAGGGAGGGAGGAAGGAAGAAAAAAAGGAAAAGGCAAAAAAAGTAAAAGAAAATAGGTTACTATGATATGACAAGGAGCACAGGTTTGGGAAGAAAATCTGGTTTTTGTTTGGTGCATATCATGAGTGGAGGTATGGAGTGGCAGTTGAATATATGAGTCTGGGATTCAGTCTAGAAAGGAAATAAAAATTTGGAAATCATCTCTGTATAGTTGATACCTGCAGTGATGATATTAGATTAGATTCCTAGGAAGTGACTGAAGGAATGTGCTAAATCCCAGAATATGCTGAAGCTTGGAAAATAAGATATAAACGTTCACCAAAAGTGTCAAAACAGGAGAAGCAGCAGAAAGGACTGAAGAGTATAATGTAAATGAATGTCAGAGAGACAGATTGCTGTGTAACTCCTATCATTTTTTTCAATCAAAGAAATGAATCTTTAAATTCTCTATGCCTGTGCAATTATCTGAAGGAGGAAAGGAATAATTCCATCTCTAAGGAGACACAAAAGGATCATCCAGATGCTTGGGGAATATTGAAAACCTTTTGAAAATGATCATGAAATTACTGTCAGTTGATAGCTATCAGTTAACCCCGAAAAATGATGAGGAAGGAGGAGCCGTATAAGGTGACTGACATGACAAATGGAAGGAACCAGAAAATCTTGAAAGCTTGATATTAACCTGTGGGAAATTCTTATGATTTAAAATATTTTTCTTATCGTCTTATATTTAAAATATTTGACTTATCAGCCCAATCAGGTTATACAAGCTCCTTGGAGTTATGGACGACTTTTCTCTTATGTCCCCTAAACACTCAGCACCCTGTAGAACAATATTGGATGTTCAGGGGATGTTCGTTGTGTTAAGTTGTTTCTAAACTCCTTTTCTATTTCTTTCTTTTTTTTTTTTTTTTGCGGTACGCGGGCCTCTCCCTGTTGTGGTCTCTCCCGTTGCGGAGCACAGGCTCCGGACGCGCAGGCTCAGCGGCCATGGCTCACGGGCCCAGCCGCTCCACGGCATGTGGGATCTTCCCGGACCGGGGCACGAACCCGTGTCCCCTGCATCGGCAGGCGGACTCTCAACCACTGCGCCACCAGGGAAGCCCCTCCTTTTCTATTTCTTATGTTATTATTTTTATTTTTAAATTCCTGATGGATTTTTTGGTATATTCACCCTGCAAATATGAAGAGCCAGAGCTGAAAAGGACCTTCAGAGGTTCTATGGCCTACACTCTTTTTCGAGATGAGAACACTGAAACCCTGAAAGAGGTTACAGAAGTAATTAGTACAAGTTACAGGTCTAACATTGATTCTAAACCCAGGTTCCCTGAGTCCAATTTTAGTAAGTGTCTCACTAAAACTACACTTATTCTTAAATATCATCATTGCTTACCTCTCTACCATAATCGTATTTGCCTTCATTACCTATTTCAGTATCAATCCCTCAAAAGATTATCTGCTTTGATTTCTTGACATTTCCTCAGGTACATCTTTATTCATTGTTAAATTTGGTCTATGTTTAACTAGAACTCTGTTCAGTAACCCGCACCCAGTACTCTGCTCAACATTAGCTACCGAGTA